TCCGACAATAATAATTATAGAGCACTATGAGTCTTCTCATCTATCTCTTCAATTTCGTGAAAATTCATGTCATCTTGATATACACCCTCGATTATCTTGATATAACCTTCATATCGCAACAAAGCTTTCATCTTTATCCTCCATAGGCCGAATTATTTTGACCATTAAAAGGCATAACATCAAATTTAAGAGCTATTATTATGAATGAAAAACCGAAAGATGTGGAATCGCACTTCGATACTTGTTTGTTATGACAAACAACGGAAACAAGACAAGTAATAGCAGACAATAATCAAAAGATAAAACTAAACAAATTAACAACATATAGTATTTACACGGTTCAAGCAAATTGCCTACTCCACGAGGCGAGAGGGAAGTTTTATTAGCTTGATAGCATGAGAATACAAGAATCCTAGAGGTTCAATATAAAATCTCTATCTTTCATTATATTTCCTAAATAGAGGCATAAGTAGGTTTAAATACCTTAAAAAAAAAAAAAAAAAAACTTAATGGGTTAAATATATTATTTGTCCATAAAATTTAAGCTATATTCAACGAAAAAAAATTTCAACAATCAAGTTAATGTGAATTCATGAAAATTAAAAATTTAGATTAAAGTAGTACTAACTTGTTAAAAAGTAAGAAATTCTTTAGTCTAGTACTCTAGTTCAGTCATGTCGGATACTAATGGTATTTTCTTTCGGAAGGAAGCACGTTGAATGGCATCCCACCACAAATTGAGTGGATAGGGAAACCTTAAACTGTATCTCAAGGGACAAAAATATCATTATAACTTCAAATACTAACGCTATAAGAGAATAAAAAGGTAAATCAAGCCCAAATATTTGACCTGCCTCATCTGCAATTTGTTGGCATTAATCGTTATAACAAAGCCATCAAGACTCATAATTTGATAACTAACATCACAGTTCCCAGGCAAGTGATGTAGAAAAGCAACTATTTTTTTTTCAGAAGTACAGCTAGCGTTTCTCAAATTCTGATTCTATAAGTCAGTATATTGCCCCGTTTCACCTATAGTAGAAACACATGTTAGCTAAAGAAATGGCGGCCAAGAAGAACTTCTCTACCCACCAAATAAGAGAATCCTAAGTTCACTTCCTTCTCGTAGGATTCAAAACCAACAAAGATTGTTGGAAATGGAATAAATATACGTTCCCTTTCCAAAGCTATTAAAAACAAGACGTTTTGATAATGCCCTGATCAACTCTGTACCACATGTACATATGGGTACCTATGTAGTGTCTTCATACAACTTACTACTAGTGACCAAAGTACTGTATTAGTGGACTTATTTTTGACAAGGTTCACACAACATGACTTAAATTCCTCCCCAAACAACTAGCAAAGGAAAAACCAATTCTTTGCCGTAATCTTCCCGAACCGAAGGGAAAAAAAAAAAAAAAATCTGAGAGATATGGATGAATTCAGATACAAAAGGGGTGGTCCAACGATGAAATGATGCTTAATATGAAGTCATAATCATCCTACAGTTATCTTCTTTTGGCACTTAGATAATGTCTAGCAGTGAGTGCATAAATGAAATTCATGATTGTGGACCGATACTAGACCCACAAAAGTTGAAAAAAATATAAAGCAGGAAAGAAAAGAAAGGAAAAGAAATGAGCTTGAGATTCCATTCCTTGAGCACAAATCATGATTCCTTGTGTTCTATATGCTTCTACTCCAAATGGCCATCAAATCAAACAGGGGAAAGTGGCTTTAAACTAAGTTTCCTTTATAAAATGCAGTGCTAGTTTGAAAAACCAAGCTCACATGTTAAAAGAAAGGGAAATGGTCATATGGAGAGCCAGGGGCTTGAGGTGGAGGCCAGAGCAGTTTTTTTTATTTTTATTTTTTTATGGTGCCTTCCTTTATAGGAACCAAGACAAAGACTTTCAACATAGGACTTTGTTCTTTTTAACTCTCCGCACATAGAAATAATTCTAGTTGTTAATACAGCACCAGAAACTTACCAGAAGTAAGAATCCAATCTAGGGACTTGAATTCATTCCAACTTATCCGGTCGATTTGCTAATGTTTTTATTCCTCAATTACAAAAAAAAAAAAAAAAAAAAAAGCCCCAATTTATTTATTTATTTTATTTTACCTGCTGAAAAAAATAATAGAGGATTAAAAAATGAGTGTGAGATGTAAAGGTCTTGATTAGCATGACAACGATATAAAGTTGTTATGCATTCTGCAGGAACTGGAATATCATCCAAGTGTTAAGGGACATGAAAAGAGTTCAATGACTTAAATTTTATTCAAGTAATCCAGATTAATTAAAGAACTCAATTTCCTTTGGAACATAATAACCACTGTGATAAACATTTGCCATGAGGGTGGCACTTCTGGGCGCGTTTAGAGATCATAAGGAACGAGTTGATATTCCTATAGAAATGCACTAGCCGGTTGCCATGCTGTATCGATTGTCCACTAGAATAAAATTATTTTAAAATTTTATTTTTTTAATTATAATATTTAATTTAAATAATTTTTTTTAATGTTTTTATAAATTCTCTGTTTAAAAAAAATAAATTATTTTTCTCTATGGATTGATTTTAAAATTAAAAATTATAATAATTTTAACTAAAATATTAATCAAAAATTGAAAAAACTTCAAAAATATAATTTCACAATATTGTATTCTAAAAAAAAAGTTATAATTAATGGACGAGACTTTGAAAAAAATTAACAAATGAAAAAATTTCTGATTTAAGGCTGATGAGAAAAAATAATTTTTGAAATTATCCAAGCAACGTTATTGGTAAATAGAACAAAATTATTTCAAAATGTAATAATTTTTTATTTAATTATTACTATTTTTTGTGTGTTTTTTCATAAAAATTTCTTCTTAAAAACCATGATTTATTCTTCGTTATTTAGGAATTCTTAAATAAAAACTTATAATAATTTAAACCTAAAAAATTAATTAAGAATTCACAAAAAAATACTTTAAAATTATATATTTTTTTATAAGAATGAATTTAAAAAATAAAATTACAATTAATGTATAAACTTGCATAAGAATTAACCAATAAAAAAATAAAATTTTATTCTTATTTAATGTTGGTGAGAAGATTAATTTTTTTCAAGCATATGCATTTGATCTATATATATTTATTAACAAAATAATCAATAAAAATAGCATAAAAAAAATATTTGAATAATTGATTGATTCCTTTAAAAAATTATTTTAGTTATCTTATTTCGAATAAATTGGTTCTATAATGTTAAAAAAATATTTATAGTAAATAATTTGTATTATGTTGGAAGATATATAGTTAATTTTTAATAAAATGAACGATTCAATAATTTTTTTATATGTCTTGACCATATCTAGTGAACTGAGATAAATTATTTGAAATACATTTTTAACCCTTTAATATATATATATATATATATATATATATATATATATTATACCAATTTATTTTTTAAAAAAGAAAAAATAATCATGTTTTAAAATTTTATTCTAAAATTCAAACATAGAGAAAAATAAATTATATAATAATAGTAAATAAAATTTTATACAAAAAATATTAATTAGATAAGAATTTTTGTAAAAAAAATGATAAATTCAAAGAATAAAATTTAAATAATAAGAGTAATATAAGCTGAAGTATATGTTAATTTTAAAATATAAAAAGATATATTATATAATCGTCAATTTGCGTGAAAAAATTATGATTAATTTCTTAAATTGTTAACACCCAATTAAAAAAAGAACATAAATTGATAAACAAAAAAGCAAAGAAAAATTGATTTTTCAAAATTTTAACATCCAATCAAATAAAAAAAGAACATAATTTGATGGAAAAAAGGACGAGAAAAATCCAAAGCAAAAAAAGAAAAGAAAAGGCATATGTAGTGCATCAATAAGGAGATTAAATATTTTTACTTTAAATTTTTAGAGAGTAAAATGAAATAAATTAAAAATTAAAAAATAATATTTATTATAGGTATAAAATCAAATTTAATAAAATTTTAATCATCAAAAGAAAAGAAAGTTATAAAACAGAGACTGATATGAAAGTAAAATTTACTAAAAGTAAAAGGAACTTTGGCGAAAGAGAAGGATAAAGAAAAAAATAATGGCCAATGATTGCTAAAAATCAAATATAGTAAAATTTTAACTATCAAAAGAAAAAAAAATTATAAAACAGGAACTAAAACGAAAGTGAAATTTACTAAAATGCAAATGGGAGCTATGAGCCTGTGGCCAGAAAAAAGAAAAAAAGAAGATGAACAGGTAATAAACAGTCTATGAACAGTTTCTGCTACAGTATTTTATCATTTTCTTTAGTTTATTTTGTAACATGCTTTGATTTTTAGTGAGGATATGAAAAATTTCTACTCTTCTGAACGTTCAGATGAACAAAGTATTTGTTTCCATGTACGATCTCTTGTGTTCCAGGAAATCAAATTGTGCACAAATCCCCTTGCTGATTATCAAATAGGAAATGCCAGTCTGGGTCATCAACTTTTCGAAGGAAGCGATCAGAAACAATTTAGCATAGTTTTAAATTACGAGAAATAAAAAATGATTGTGATTGCCATTGTAGATCGCAACTCTCTATCGTATTAAAACAATAATAATTATATAACGATCGTTACTTTACACAAAGACGTTATTTAAAATTATAATATGGAGATAGATTTTTGTTAAATTGGGTTATAAAAATTATGGTTCATTTACTTACTTATTATTATTATTATATGGCCTTTCAACACATGATAAGTGGCAAACCCTTCTAGGATCGTTTTCTTGTTTACTAAAGCCTCTGTACAAACAAAGTATTGCCTCCATATAATAATATATAAGGTTCATTCACTGAAGATTTTTCAGTCAAGACATCTAGATCAGATCTATGCTTAATAATTACATAAATATAACTGAACATCTCAAAAATTAAACAATAGAGAAAACAAACAAAACATTGTTCTTTGGTGTGAAATTAACCAGTTTCAAAGCAGGATCAACCTGCTTCGTGATCTCCAGCAACAGGCACATCATTTCCAGAATGTCTAATCCCAACCTCAGTTTCTGCGGCGTCACAACTTGGTGGTTGCTCTAGTAGCGACTGCCGGCAAGTTGGACAGGAGGAGTGTGATGCCAACCAAGTGTCTATACACCTAACATGAAAACCATGGTTACACTTCGGCAAAACTCGTACTTTCTCACCATCCATGAACTCACCAAGGCAAATTGCACAGTCTGTTGCAATAATATGTATCCCTGCCGCCCCGTATATGATCACCGGGATTTGTCGCAATGCGCTCTTTTTGAGGCCTGTTGCTGCAAGACGCGCGGCAGTCTGATCGGGAGTCTCAAAAGCAAACCTCCGGCTACAACGCAAGGCGCATCGGACTATAGAATTTAGTCCAAGTGCACAAATTAATGCACAAAGCAAAGCCGCCAAGATGATCACCATGTTGGTATCAAAATTTGCCTCACTGGTGTAAGTGTTGCGCGTCCTGCTTCCATTTGCTGCCGGTGGTGTGCTTGATTCTGTATCCAGGAGTAACCGGTGTGCACGATGATGTAGAGTAGTAACCATAGCTATTATGGCCCAGTCCAACAACAGTTCAGAAGCACACTTAACCTCACTACAATTTCTTTAGACCTTGTATGAATTTATGCAAATAGGCTGGAGATTTCATGGCTCCAATGCTTCCTAGCATCAAATCGAACCACAAAGGAGACTGAAAGTAAGGAGTTCATTTCACTCTTATATAGGACAAGGCCTTCAATTCTGATTGGTACTGGAATTTTGTTCAGATTGTAATGGAGGAATTTAAAGGCTAGTTCATGGCTTTTGATGCTTCAAGAGCAGTAGGTGAAGGAAAAACAATAAAATATGGGGTTTGGGGTTTCTTTTTTTGGGTTCATGTTGATCTGCTTTCATCCAAAAAGAGGGAGATGAGCCTTTTGAGCTATGGCAGGATTCCAGCGAGATAAAAAGACATTAAAAAGCATCTTCTTGATAAAATTTAAACAAGGAAATTAGTGGAATTGAATAGCTTTTTTTTTTTTTTTTAATGCAAACTTTCTGGCTTCTAAAGTCAAAAAATCTTCTTGTAAGTTAATCCAAGGATGAAACTATGGATGAAGAAAGAGAAACTATGATCTGAGAGCCTTACCTCAACTTATGCAGTAAGTACTCTGAAGAGGAGGACTGAAGGGAATTTTTCTGCTTCTAATAAGTAATTAACCATGAGAAAATTGATTTGTTTTGGTGGTACAAAGAGATAAGGGGTGGCTTAATATTTTGTGAGGATTATTACAGGGATGGAAAAAAAAAAAAAAATAGTAAAGTGCTTGCAGTTGTACTCTTGGGATGTGGGAAAGGAAACTGGACTAGGAGAGAAGATACCAAATGAAAGTAAGATAGTAGTGTTAGGTTGCTTTTCACTTCATTATTATTGAGAGGATGACATATAGGAGGTTAAATTATAGAATCCAGTGTTTTTCTCTCTTTTTTTTCAATTATGGTACCTGATCCCACATAAGCACAATTAGTTGCTTAAGATTATGCTTATTCTTGAGCACCAAATCTTTCGCCCACTTCTCCACTCTTCCTTTAATTGAAAGGTGAAGTAAATTCCATGGCTCATTTGTCATAGCCAATGCCTATCTTTGGATCCCCTAGATAACCCAAAATTTGCCAATATTGCCCATCTTGGAACAGTTTTGGAAAGCGTATAACAATTATTATACCAAATAGTAGTTGATTTTTATTGTACCAACCACAACAAGTCTATTTCCATCTTCACTAATTGAGATTTGGAATTATTCAAACAGGACTTTGCCATTTGAACATACTATGAATTACAACTTGACAGGAAAGGCAGAGAAAGCCAGGTCAGGACATCACCAAGGTGCCACCAGCATGACCTTCCATTTTCTTTGATTGGAAATGATTGTCTTTCCCTGTGACCTTGTTTTTATGCATGTAAGACATGCATCTGTATCGTGAAGAAAAGACAGGCACATGAGCATCATGTGGCCAAGGCATTTCTTCCTTGGCTTCGAAGGAGGAACTGATAGGTCCACATATGTCAAGTCCAAATCGATACTAGTAAACCTGTGGACGCTAAGATTGACACAGCAGAACACCTGTCTCTCACAGATTGACCAACTTGTAACAAATTCCATCAAAACTGATGTTATGTTTTCACCTACTCGGCTAACCCTCACATTAAAACCAACAGCTTTATTAGGTGAAGCAAATGAGCAGGAGTTGGGAGTTGGGACACATAACGCCAGTCACAGACCAAATCCAGTCAATTGTTCCATTTTGTCTGAAGTCTGAACGCACATTTTAGTTGAGGGTAAAGCCTATATTTTTGCAGTTGTGGTGGCGTGAGCATCCTTTAAAACACTAGTGCCCGGTACCCACTAAACATTACATGTAGCAATTCAACTTTCTCAAGGAAGTGCAGGGGGAGCATGCTTTAGAACACTAGTGTCCGGTCATGAAATCTACTTGCATCAGTGTCTCTCGGTTATAATGGCTGTACGATATAGGCCCGCTCATGAGTCCACGAGCGATGGTAGTACAACCAATGATGAAATAAATTAAGAAAAAGATTGAAGTGAAAAAAAACATATTAAATAAGAAAATGACTATTATAAAACTAAGAAAGAAAATTTTTATTTTTTAGTTTATTTTTCATATTTAGCCGAGACTTGCATACAAAAAAAAAAAAAGTTTATCTTTATATATATATATATATATATATATATATATATATTGCTAAAAAAGGGCAATGCGAGAGGAAAAAAAAAAAGTTTTTCTCATTCTTCTTACCAATCTATGGAATTCTAGCAAGATTTTTTGATATATAAAATCTTAAAATTTTTTAAAATATTGATTTTTAAATATTACAATCGGAGAATTGCATGTTCTCATAAATAACAGATTTTGCATATGCTAAGTTTTTGTAGTGAAATAGATTTATTTAAAGAAATAATTTGTATTATTATTAATATTTTTGCTTCTTATATTTATATATAAAAAAAAAGAGTGATTATATATATAATTGATTATTTCATAATTAGTTATGTGGTTTTTTACTTTACTTTACAAAGCGCTGTCTTTCAATTTTCAAATTCATACCCCATCTTTCTAAACTTTGGATCGGAGACATTTAAGCGTAAATGTCAAGTTTTAACGATTGTAGTGCCTCCTTAAGCACATGGAGTTTTAAACACTCGTTTCGACGACACTAATCACCGAGGGTTGGCTCCAATAGCGAGCATTCGGAATGTTTTAAAATCATGTCATTTCGATAATCATCCGAAATATTCGAATTTTTTTTAACTTTTACTTAATTTTTTTTTCCCGATTATCCGAATTACTCTAATCTAATTTGACATTTTCTTTTGGTACAATGCCAAAATTGGCTTTAGATAATTCAAGCTTGGTTATTTGACAATTCATTTTGATCAATAATCTGGCCTCATACAAAAGCAATTCTTGCAAGCCTATCTAAACACTAGGAAAATTAGATTTGGTTACGCACATGGAAAGAAATACTTAAAGAAAGCTGAAAAGTTTAATTTTGTTGAAAACTAACAATAATAATATCAAAATTGTTATGATAATAATAAAAGGTCGAAGAGGAAAATAATAGAAAAGTAGATTCGTTATGAAAGAAAGTGAGTATAAATGATAATAACTCAAATAACTCGTCACTTTCTACAAAACTTTCATATATAAACTAATGAGCAATCAATCATATTTATAGGTTTCAAAATTAAAAAAAGAATTAGAACGATCTATGAATAATAAAAGGTGCATAAATAATTGAATTAAATACACTACCTTTTCAATTTACGTATTGAATGGTAAATTAAATCACATTAAGAATTATGAGTAGTTAAACTATAAAATGAATATGGACATTCATTATTTCATAATGTTGTCCTCTAAATGTCTATTATACAAGAAATATGCCTCATTAAAATCTTACAAGAAAAAAACGCAATGAAAAAAAAAATCTCAATAAAGGAAAAAAAAGTAAAATATTTCTTGTACTCATCAATCTCTATGATGTGCCTCTCTCTTAAAAAAAATATCATTTAAGATGTAATAACTCGAAATTTAAAGAAAAAGTAAGGGGGTGGGGTTGGTATAAAAACGAGACGACTTGGTCGTCCCTTTATTTTTCTTTCTTTTCTTCCCTTCCTCACACAATTCTCTCCCATTTTCTCTTCTTTGGTTCCTAAGCTAAGACCATGTTAAATTAGCTAAGAGAAACCTTGAACAAGTTAATTAAGTGTAGCTTAGCTAGCTTAGAGCTTGGAAACTTAGAGAACTAGGAAGAAATTGGGGATTTGAAGAGCAGTGTGTAAAGGTAAGATCTTTAATCCATTGATCTTTAAATTGTGAAGTTTATGTATAATTAAGGATGATATTGAGTTGGAGTAGCTTTGGATTGTGATTTTCTTGAGGAGTTGATTAGATTAATGTTAGAGTTTAGAGACTCATTTAGAAAAAAAGTGATTCTAAATGATTGTAATGACTTGAATGATGTTTAATTATCTTGGGTAAGTAATGAATGAATTTAATTTGAAGTCAAATTAAGTGAATTTAAGAAATTAAGAGGTTGAAGACGATGAATAATGACAAATCTGAATTTAGATTATAATTGAAAATAATTTAAGGAAAATGAGGAATTAAGCTATATAAATGCAATTCAAGGTTAATGGAATGAGTATTTGATGAATTAGAATGTAATGAATCATTTAATTGGAAATCAATTAGATTAAAGATTGATTGATTAAATGTTTGAATTGAAAATTCGGGATTGGATTAAGAATTGGTGGTGATAGGATTTAGTGAAGCAATATATTAGAATTATTAGACAGATTGTAGAGTCTAATTAGGGTTATCGGCTCGAATCTTTCCAATCAATTCCATTTTTATTCAATAATTTTGTAAGTTACTTGGAATGAGTATTTGGTGAATTAGAATGTAATGAATCATTTAATTGGAAATCAATTAGATTAAAGATTGATTGATTAAATGTTTGAATTGAAAATTTAGGATTGGATTAAGAATTGGTGGTGATGGGATTTAGTGAAGCAATATATTAGAATTATTAGACAGATTGTAGTCTAATTAGGTTTATCGGCTCGAATCTTTCCAATCAATTCCATTTTTATTCGATAATTTTGTATTTTAATTCTATAATAATTCATTGTTGAGATTATTCCTTGGTATATGGTATTGATGGATGATCCATCATTTTATGATGCTAGATTTATTGAAGAGGGCGACTCCATCCCAATTATGTTGATCTCTGCTCGGTTCTTCAATTATACTATGAGTAGATATTATATAATGTATTGTGTTTTAATTCCTTGAAATTATATATATCATGCATCATTGGGCTATGACTCCTTAGAACCTAGATGGGAATGAACATCATGAATATTTAAAATGATTTCAAATTCAAATGTTTTTATGTGAATTGGAAGGAGATTTGATATGTGTTTTGGATTTGAACATGTGTACGTTATGTTCGTTATTTTGAGTATACACATATTTTATGAAAATACATGCATGGTATTTAAAATACCAATTTGAAAAATATATAAGTATGTTTAGTTTTCGAAAATATTTTCAAGACCCCGAGAACCTAGTCGCCTAGGGGGTAGCCTTTGAGCTCAATAATACGAGGCTCCATCTAACGGGAGATGTATAGTGCTAGATCGTATGTCCGCCAACATGTGGAAACCTAGTCATAGGGGGTGTGACCTTTGGGTGTTTGCATCCAATGATACATTATTACTCCATGGGTTTATAAAAACCTATATATGTGCATTTTTGTATGAGTAATATATATATATATATATATATATATATATATATATATATATATATATATATATTCTTTGATACGAAATGATTTTGAACCATTTGATTGTGATATGAAATTCATTTTGGATATATATGCGTTTTGAGAAACTAGCATAGCATGTTGAGATGAATTTTAAATTATCATTCTTAGTTCGTTTCCCTCCTTTAGTATATTATATAATGTCTACTCATTGAGCTATTGATTGCTCACCCCCTTATTATTTTAGTCTTGTAGGATATTGAGGGATTACTCATTGCTTCCTTTTGGTCGTTTGATTCAAAGTTGACACTTTGGTCATATAATTCATTTTCTTGAAAATTTCTTAGAACCTATGTTTGTTTTAAATTATAATCCAAGATACTCTATAGTTATAGTTGTGGGTAGTGTATTAGAAGTTGGTTATAAATATGAAATTATCAATGTTGATTTTGGATTTTAAAATGTGAATTGTATTGAGATTATAGAAGAAATGTTTATTAAGATATGATCATGTTGATTGGAATGATAATTTAAGTGATATGGATTTGAGGATTATGATATAAGTTCGATGATGATTTGAGGTTTAGTGTAGTATACGAGACTTGCTTGGGTCGAAGTAGGTATCATAGTTCCCTCGATCCTCATATCGATCATGGCCCACCCTCGAAGTCGTGACAAGTATTAGTATTAGAGCATAGGTTATAGAGTCTAGGATAATTGTAGAACATAGGTTCTAGTCTAGTCCAATGTTTTTGCTTTGCATCACATGGATCAATTTTTTAATGTACATGGCTTAGTACTATATGTGAAAAGTAGGATTTTATCGCACGAGAAAATCCCTCACATGGCTTGCTTAAATTGACATACGACCATGTCAATTTCCATCACAAATTATGTCTCTTAGCTACTGCCTATGTAGCATTCTTTCTTCTTTGAAGCAATTGTATATGACACATGACCATGTCACTTTTACCTTCAAACCTACCCATGTGGCTTTCTTTTCTTCATTTGAATTATAATTTTATTGTTATACATGAGTGTGTTGAATTTCTTCTCTAAACCATATGGATCAATTTTACCCATGTCTCTCCTTTTGTTAAACACACATATGAGCATGTTGAATTTCTTTTACAAATCGTATGGGATTCTTTCTACCAAGGTCCCTCCT